TGCTCGTCGGCTGGTCTCCTCTTCTCCGTCCTTGGTTGGACGTTTTGCCAGGCAGCTGCGTCTTTATTTTCTGCGTTCTGCTTCGTCACGTCTTTCGGAGGAGTTGACTTCAGGTCCTTCTTCTTTGCCACTTGCCTTTCTGTTGGATCTGGCGAGTTTTGGTCCTTCCTCTTATTAGACTTGGGAGCACTTTCACTCTTGTCGTCAGCAACAGATTCACCGTCACCGTTGGCACCGGTGTCCATTGATTCCTCAGTCTCAAAAACAGCTTGACTGCCTTTCTCTGGCGTAATGCAAGGCGTTAGTCGTCGTGATGACTGCCATTCCTCGTCCAGTTTCTTGTATCTTCTAAGAGCATTGACTACACCGGTTGTCTTGGTCTTAATCTCCTTGTGGATGTTGACCTTAGTTTGGACAAACTCTTGTAGCTCAATGGTCAGCTTTTCAAGGCGCTCCAGCGCTTGCGTTCTCTTCATTTCAGCACTTGCTTCAATCGCTGCTTGTTGGGCATGAAGCCCGTTTCCACTCTTGTTTGTTTCCTGTAAATTACTCATGCTTTTTGATTCACCAGCGCATCGTACGGAGTGGAGCGAGTTGTCATAACTAGGAACGGGTGTACCCTCGGAGATAGTGCTCCTACCCCAGTTCCCTGAGGCCTAGCCGACACTTAGCCAGTCGGAATACACGGACGGACTAGACTCGCTCGGGGCGGTGAAGATTCCGATCTCTAACACTCACTGCGTACTTCCTGATCAAGGCCCGAAGTGACTGGCTCCTGATCCACTACTGCAACTTACACCTTGGCAGAGCAAGCTCACATCAGCCGTGGCCTGCATCGTCGGAAACTACGTTACAAGTTCCGGACACTCCCAGTGAGTTACAACAGGGACCGATCGTCTTGTTAGGTCAGTTAGTGTGACCAACCCATTAAAGGGGAGTTTTGTCCACGGGAGCGTATTTTGTTTGGTTATTTTGCTTGACTCCTACCCACTGTACCCCATCAACTAAGAGATTATCCAAGTGTTATCCAAGGACAGCGAGCGTTCTCCCATCCGCTCGGGGAGACGCGCCCGGTAGCAGTATCTCTTCTGCCCCGAGTGTGTGTGTGTGTGTGTGTGTGTGTGTGTGTGTGTGTGTGTGTGTGTGTGTGTGTGTGTGTAAACCTCTTGTAACTTTTGAACGACTTGACCGATTTCATCGCGGTTGGTCTCATTCGAAAGGGCTTCGCCAAACTCAGATTTCCTGAGAGTTGGAACCAATTCGGACCGGTAGATTTCGAGAAAATGCAAAAAAAGTGAAAAAAAAAGTTGTTTTTTTTTCATTTTTTTTCAATTTCTCCGAATTGGCTGAACCGATCGGTCTCAAAAACTAATCAGCTCTTAACCTTGAAATCCCCAATCGATCGCCACCAAAAACTTCAGAATCGGTTGATGCGTTCGTGAGATATCGTTGTCGAAAAAAATCAAAAAAAGTGTTTTTTTGTTATAACTTCGAAATTTTTTATTAGATCAATTTTTTGTTCAAAATTTTTTATAGAGCTCAAGAAACTACATCGATTGCCGCCAACCGCGTGAAAATCGGTTGATTCATTCGAAAGTTATAACAGTTCGAAAATTAAAAAAATTGTGTTTTATCGAACTTTGATAAGACTTTTAAGCTCGAAGAGCTTAAAAGTATAAAACAGCTATTTTTTTTAACTTTCCGCTAAGAAAATTGAAAATTTTCAAAAATCGGGAAGTTATTGGTTTTACCCCGTTTTTCGAAAATCGAGTTCTCATCAGATCTTGACGTTTTGAGGTCCTAGGACGCTTTCCTGATTGTTTTCGCGATGATGTCCGTATGTCTGTATGTGTGTGTGTTTGCATGTATATGACCCTCTTATAACTTTTAAACGGCTTGACCGATTTAATCACAGTTGTGCTATTCGAAAGGGCTTGACCAAACTTAGATTTTGAATATTATTTGGACCGATTCGAACCAGTAGATTTTGAGAAATCTCAAAAAAACTACGAAACAAAATTATTTGAAATGAGGTTTTTTTGGAATTACTTTTAAATGGCTTCACTGATCAATTCCAAAATCTAATCAGCTCTTAAGATAAAAAAAACTACGTCGATCACCGCAAGCCTGGTCAAAATCAGTTAATTCGTTCGTGAGTTATCGTTGTCGAAAGAAAACTGAAAAAAGTGTTTTTTCAGAATTACTTCGAAATTCATGGCTCGATCGATGTAAACTTGAAAATTTTTTATGGAGCTTCAAAAACTGCGTCGATTGCCGCCAACCGCGTGAAAATCGGTTTATTCATTCAAAAGTTACTGCCGTTTGAAAATTCAAAAAATTGTGTTTTATTAAACTGCTATTAGAGTTTTGAGCTCGAAGAGCTCAAATTGACACAAAAATAATATTTTTGAGCTCGAAGAGCTCAAAAACGTAATGTGTAGTTTTGAGCGCTTAAGTACAAAATGAGCAAGAAGTTACAGGGATGGCTTTTAGGGTCAACCGTCATCTTAATTTTTTTTTCGTTGTTTATTCTTGAATTATCATTCTTCGAGGTGATAGACTACTGGTTGATACAAATTAATTCGGAAAAAATCCGGATGTGGAGGGATTTGAACCTGGTCCGTCTGCGTGGAGGTCTCGAGCGCCGAGAATGTAGCTCTTAATAACGACGAGTCTGCTACTGCCAGTGAATCCTCCTCCCAGTGAAGGTGATGAAAAGTTCCTTCGAGGAGTAAAGAAGAGTACAGGCCTATCGGTGAAGAGAAAAAGCCAGAAAAATACGACCAAAAACATCTAAATGATTTATTTAGAGAAGCTAAACTCTCAAAAGAAGCAGCTGAAATATTGGCTTCGAGTATGAAAAGGAGAAATTTTCTGACACAAGGTACTAAAGTTTTATTTTATCGGAATCGAGAGGAGGCTTTCGGTAAATGTTTTTAAAAAAAGGAAGATTTGCTTTATTGCACTGAAGTAAAAGACTTGTGGATCAATTAAAGCCAAATTTATCTAAACCTGAAGATTGGCGGTTATTCATTAACTCGTTTCAACGTAGTCTTAAGGCAGTTCTTCTTCACAACACCAACAAGTTTGCTCCTTTACCATTAGCTCACTTAACTGTACTTAAGGGGGAACACCACTGTGACGATCGAAAAAAAGAGGTGATTTTCAGGAATGTTATTGACAGGGAAAATAAAGGAATTTGGAAATCGGATTTTTTTTATTTTATTAAGGGTACATGAAAGATTATTACCCTTAATTGTTATTAAAAAATATTTAATTATTACAAAGTTATTAACAATCTCGTCGAGCACTGGAGAAAATTTCCCCCCTCCACGGTCGGTTCGATAACTCAAAAACAAATCATCTGAAATTAAAAACTTAAATTGCTTCTTAATCAGTAAGGATGTGGTTATCGTCGCACGTACGGAATTAAAAAAATTTTTATTTTAAAGATTTTTTTAGCCGGGTACATCCTTATTGATTAAAAAGCAATTTGGATTTTTATTTTCAAATGATCCGTTTTTGAGTTATCGAATCGACCATGGAGGAGGAAATTTTTTCTAGTGCTCTACGAGATTGTTAATAACTTTGTAATAATTAAATATTTTTTAATAAAAATTTAGCGTAATCATCTTTAATGTACCCTTAATAAAATAAAAAAAATCCGATCCCCAAATTCCTTTATTTTCCCTGTCAAAAAAATTCCCGAAAATCACCTCTTTTTTTCGATCGTCACAGTGGTGTTCCCCCTTAAAGAAGAGTACACAAATCTAGAAACTGTCCTGAAAAAAATTAAGCATGAAGAACATAAATGGTAAGTATGTGGTGATTTCAAGATTTTATCCATGATTCTGGGACAACAATCTGGATTCACGAAGTATCCATACTTTTGTGTATGTTTGACAGTAGAGATCGCAAAAATCACTACGTCAAAAAAGTTTGGCCTCCGAGATCTTCATTTAGGGTTGGATCACATAATATAATAAGAAAACCGCTTGTTTTCCCAGCAAAAATTCTTATTCCCTCTCTTTATATTAAACTTGGGTTAATAAACCAGTTTGTAAAAGCTCTTGATAAAGATGGAGAATTCTTTACATACCTGCGTCAATGTTTAAGCACAAATCAGATGTGAAATTGAGAGAAGGCATCTTTGATGGATTGGAAATCTGGACGTTATTCAAACATGAAACATTTGTTTCAGTTGTAGATGAACAAGAAAAGGCATCATGGCTAAGTTTCAAGGAAGTGTGTATCAAGTTTTTAGGTAACACCAAGGATGCTGATCACGAAAATATTGTGGCCAATATGATCGCAAACTTTCAGCGTTCAGGTTGCTTAATGAATTTGAACCTTCACTTTTTTAATTCGCATCTCAACTATTTTCCCGAGAACAACGGAGACTTTAGTGAAGAGCAAGAAGAGAGATTTCATCAAGATCTCAAAGAACTTGGACGGCGATTTCAGGGGCAGTGGGGAGTAAATATGTTTGCAGAATGTTTATATTCCTCCTGAGAAAATTCTTATTGGAGAGATAGCTGACGATAAAAATATTAATCGGTCAACAATTAGAACAACAAAAAAGTGTTATGCACAATATGCATCAATAAGAGAAGGATTAAAGTTATCTTTAGAACTACCTAACGTTTTAAAAGAAACTTTAACATTTATGAACGATCAAATAACTAAAAGAAACTGATATGACAATTATTCAAGTTTATTCCAAGGAACAGTTTGGAAAGAAGTAGCTGCACATTACAACGAAAAAACCGTGATTCCACACTATATATATTATGACGAGTTTGGCGTAGGAGATCCTCTGTCCCCTGCAGCAACTTTACATAAAATGGATGGTCTCTGTTATTCCATTGCGGCTTTACCACCAAAATTATCATCTAAATTTGATACCGTTTTATTAGCTCAACTGATTTATAATTCCGATTATAAGGAATTCAAAAATGCAAAATGTTACTGTAAAGTAATAAGCGAATTAATAGTATATTACGACCTAAGGCCAGAAAGTCGGATGCCCTGGCGTATGGGATATGATGGCCGAGGCTATGCCTCGGCCATCATATCACATACGTCAGGGCATCCAACATTCTGGTCATGGGTTGTATACTATTTTTTTTGCTCTCCAGCCAAAAGTACGCAACCCCGGGAAAGGGGTTTTGCAAAACCGAGGCGAAGCCGAGGTTTTGCTGGTCGGGGCGGGCATAATAAAAAAGTAAAAATTAATAAATAAAAAAAAATAAGTTATTTTAAAGTTTACTAACAAATGCTCTGATTAAGAGAGATAACATGCACAGAACTCGTCACAAATATTTAAACTCGATTTAATAACAAAATTAATTTTTTTAAGTTCATTAAAAATTAGATATTAATTAGATGGCTAAGAAAGATTAAGATTAAAATATTAGAAGCTTGTAGAGTACATGGATTGTTGGATAAGCATTGCTTTACTAGCTGTCAAAATATAAAATAAAGCAAATAAAATTTACAAAACTTTGATATTATTTTCTAAAATTTGTATATAAATTATTTTTGCTGTATTATTATTAAATAGTTCATTAACAATAATCTAGTTATAAATTATTTTTATTTATTTGACATTTTTTGGTTAGTTTCTGCGCTGACACGTTACATACAGACGATGTTGTAGCTGTTATATACAGTTGAAACTCGCTGCATAGGCCGGTCGCGCCACGAAAATACGAAAGAAAGCGAGGTTCTATGCTGCCGGCCAGAAAATATGCGTAACGCGCATGCGTTAGAGCAGGCCATAAAAGTTGCTCTTCCTGGAGTAAATTGCGTCCAGGAAGAGCGTACTTTCGGCTAGGGGAGCAAGAAAAATACTTAGCACAAAAGGAATATAAATCAGTGTTGATAATACAATGAAAACTGTTTATTTAGTATTATTTGGTATTTTGGGAGATAACTTAGCTATTAACAATCTTCTAGGATTTAATTAAAGTTTTTCTAGTTATTATTTTTGTCGTTTTTGTTGAGCTTCCAAAGAAGCACAAAAACAGTGTTATGAAAATGAAAATTTGATTCGCAATCAAGCAAATTATTCAAAAGATTTAGATCTAAATCGAATCACTAAGTTACGGAATTAAAGAAGAGTGTGTCTTCAATAGTATTTCAAACTTTCACAATATTAAAAGTTTAACGTGTGACATACGACATGATTTTTATCTGGATGTATGTCGATATGATATGGCTAGGATAATAAAGTATTTAATCAATGGAAAATTTTTTTTTGCACTTCGGGCGGAAAGTGGCAACTTTCGTCCCGCTGCGCTAAAGAAAGTTGCCGCTTTCCGCCTTCATCGGATAAAAAAATAGTATACAGCCCTTGGAAAGTAAAAAAGAAAACCTCAGATCACCTGTTTGTCGACCTCGGCTTCGCCTCGGCCAATAATTACATGTGATCTGAGGCTTTACTTATTTTCCTTTCCAAGAGGTATAATATACTATACTCTGAATGACTTAAATGATCGGCTAAAATATTTTGACTTCTCTAAAGTTGACCACGGCAATAAAATTACTAATATATCACAGAAACACATTTCTCAAGGATACATAATAATTACCGGAGCAGAAATGTCATCATTAGTTACGTATTTTGGAATAATTATTGGAGATAATTATTCCTGAAAATGATCCAGTATGGATGTTTTGCTTACTTCTATTTGACTTAATTAACCTGGTCAACGCAGATAATTACTCTGAACATGTTTTAATTTTACTACAAGCATTAATCAAAAACCATAACGAGCTTTACATCCAGTAATTTTATGAAAATTTTACAGCAAAATTCCATATTTTGACACACTATCCCGATGAAAGAAGTTTTTGTCTAATCATATATGATTATGTATGATCATATATATTATAATATATAATTATATATAATTATTCATGATTGTGCATGGGATTATACAGGGTGTCCCAAAAGTAACGGACGCCATTGTAGCATCTGATGAAAAAAATAATTCTGAGACGAAAAGTCCTTAGCCATTTCTTAATTAACCGCATAGATAATTAATTATCAATTAAAAATAACGTCTCTTCATTTGTTAGAGAGAGAGCGCCAGTGTCTAGTAAAGTATGTGCTAAACAAAGACACAACTAACTGTATGACTAACTAGCTTCTATAAGCTAACGTAGTCACACATATTTACTTAGGGGCCATTCATTAATTACGTAAGGGTATTAAGGGGGAGGGGGGTTTAAGAAAATCTCTACATGTCCTTATGTTTGGGGGAGGGGGGTGAAATTCATTCTTATGTAATATTTCGTGAATCAAAATTCAATATTAAAAATCTAATTCCATTTTGGATTCCAAATAATTTACTTAATTTTAAAGTGTACAGTCGAATTTTTATTTTATTTAAATAATTTTTATTGCTTATTAAAAAAAAAAAAATGGAAAACGGTTGACCCTAAAGGCCATCTCTGCAACTTCCCGCTAATTCCGTTAATACATGGCCGTTTTTTTTTGAGCTCTTCGAGCGCAAAAATACAATCTGTGTGTTATTTTGAGCTCTCCGAGCTCAAAAAGATACTTTTTCTGTGCTTTTGCGCTCTTTGAGCTCAAAAGTCTGATAGAAGTTTCATAGAACACTATTTTTTGAATTTTCAAACCGCAATAACTTTTGAATGAATGAAGCGATATTTACGCGGTTGGCGGCTATCTACGCAGTTTTTTAAGCTTCATAATGAATTTCTAAGTTTCAATTGGTCAAACTAAAAATTTCGGCGTAACTCCAAAAAAACACTTTTTTCGGTTTTCTTTCGTTCACGATATCTCTCGAACGAATCAACCGATTTTGTCCGGATTGGCGGCGATCGACGTGGTTTTTTAAGGTTAAAAGCTGATTAGTTTTTGGAACTGATCGGTAAAGCCGTTTAAAAGTTATTCCAAAAAAACCACTTCTGATTAAAATTTTTTTCCGATTTTTCTTGAGATTTCTTCAAATTTCTCAAAATCTATTGGTCCGAATCAGTTCAAATTTTTAGGAAATCTAAGTTTGGTGAAGCCCTTTCGAATGGCACCAACCGCGATTAAATCGGTTCAACCGGTCAAAAGTTATAAGAGGTTTACATACTTACACACACACACACACAGACACACAGACACACACCCACACACACACACACACACACACACACACACACACACACACACACACACACACACACACACACACACACACACACACACACACACACACACACACACACACACACACACACACACACACACACACACACACACACACAC